TGTGTGCAAAACTGTCGTAAAGCCGAAGTTGAATGGAAAGCAAAGATTGATCAGTTAGAAAGTAACAAAGCAAGTGTAGATTGTAAATGGAGCATGATCGATCTCTATTGGACACAAGTAAAACTTGAATACGTGAATAGAGTTCCATTTTATATTCAATATCGTTTAGCTTGATGAAGATATTCGTCGTTTATTAGAACGATTTGACGCAACAACATCCATTGATGGAAGTAGCGATTCATTGAGTAACGATGGAAGTAATTCCAATACGAATGCAACAATGAATGACGAGCGACAAGGTGAAGAAATTCGTTCATATATTCGACAGTTGAATACTTGGCAGCGAGGAGATCTCGATGCGCATTTGAAGCAACGTTTAGACTTTTCTACCAAAGCGATTGTTAAGCTCGTACGAGTTTTTGATAAGTAAGGTGTTTAGTTCTGTATTGGTACATTTGTATAAGTTCTGTTTTAGTCTATCTGATAAATATCAACGATTATTTACTTCGATCAATTCTCCCGGTGAATCAAATTCAACTCTCGGTAAATAGTATACTTGTAGAGAAAAATACTTGCGACGAAAATACTTCTTTAGAATGCAAACCTGAAGTATATAAAGCTGTTCTCGACCGAAATGTTCATCTCGAGCACGAAAATGATCGTATTCAACGTCTAAACACAAGTTTACAGAGTCGCATTCATGAAATAACCCTTCGAGTAAGTCTTTTTCCCAGTCAATACTTCTTTAATTAATTAAATTGATCATATGTAGTGTACAGATTTAAACAATCAAATTGTTCTTCAAGAAGAGCAATTACTCGAAGGCAAAAGTCATTTATCGGATCTTGAATATGAACTAGAAAAGTCTCGCAGTAAAGAAACGAAGCTAGAACGATCATTAGCAGATGCAATCGCTAAACTCGAATGTGATCGATTGAAACTTCAAATGAATGATGCGAAACAAGACCCAGATTCACATGCTGATTCAGCGAATAACAGCACGATTGTAATTGCAGAAAATAAAGTACGCTCATCTTTGACGAAGTAGTTGTTCAAATAGATGTTTGCCTTTGCTTTCTTCAGTATGCAGATTTACAAGCAGAAATTGAAGAATATAAAGAGTTAGCAGCTGGTCGTTTAGGTGAATTAGAAAAATTAATGAGTGATCACGAAACAACAAAGCGAGAGGTTGAAGTTTTAAAAAATCGAGTAAGAATAAAATACTTGTATTACCAATATGTTCTTATATGTTTTTTTTCTCAAGCTTCGATCATTACCCGAAGAGTTAATTACCGAAACGCCAGAATTTAAGTGTCTTCAATCACGTTATACAGCTTTAGTTAACGAAAGTGTTCATCTAAGACACCAGTTAGCTGAAGCTCGTGAACTTGTCAAATGTACAAAAACAGTCTACGATCATCACTTTGAAAAAATTCAGGTAGACTTGGATGGCAATTCTATTGAAAATCTTGAAGAAAGTCGTCTTTTTGTTTAGCATGAAGAATTTGAAAATCAACGAAAGCTACATGCGAATATTGAACAAGTTGTCACTGATTTAGCTGAAGCTCGTCGTGACTATGATCTTCTTCAGGTTGAATACGAAAAAGTTCTGAATGCTAATCAACAATCTGGTTTGTTACTCGAAATTTTCATAGGGAAAAAAAGAATTTTTCGTTTTAGTGCCCATTGCACGTGAAATGCGAAGTTTAATCAATCATTTACAAGCTCAATGTAAATTATATAATCTCGAAGCAAGCCGCTGCAAAAAACAGTGCAAAGAATTGGAAGACGAGTTAACAAGACTCAAAGTAAAACAAGAAAGCAATGCTAGTAACGGACTTAGTTCCCAGATAAGTATAACAACATCAGAACCTACTTCTACCGGATGCATAATTACAACTAATCAACTACCGTCGCCAACGATCAAAGAAGAGTCAACAAATCCATTTGCTGCACCATCGTCATCTTCAACTGCGGTAAAACCTGAAACAGCTATTAAAGAAGAATCAATCGAAGGGGTATGTATTCGGATGAATATGAACGACACGAATATTTTTCATTGAATCTACTTAGAACGATGATAGTCGACTTGGAGAAAATTCTTGGTTGGAATTTCCTGACCTACCGGATAGTGATTTGGATGAATCTTCAGGAAATCTAGCGCGTCTTTCGTCAAATCCTGTAACTGCAGAAGATAAAGATGCAGAATTACGTAATCTTAGAACAGAGTATAAAAAACTTACAGATATGGTGAAAGAATACAAGATTTTATTGAACATGTACAGGTGAATAAAGCAAAATTGTTTCATTTCATTGTTTTCGTCTTCGCTGTTGTAGAAGTGCGCCGAAAGAGACACGTGATAAAGCTAATCTAATGACATCAGAAAAGAAACTACGACAAGAACTCGATGAAACCCGGAACGAATTGAAAAAACTTCAAATTTATGTAAAAACTTTGCGGAAAAAATGTAACGAAGATGAAGTGAGTTGATATTTCGACTGAATATCAACCTCTACAAACGTTGTTTTTCTTTATGTTAAGATACAAAACAAGATGCGTTCATTTCAAGATACAATCCGTGACCTTGAAAAGAATCTCGAAACTCGTAAGCAAGAAGAAGCCGCTCTACTCAATGAAATTGAAGTGACTGGTCAAGCATTTGAAGATATGCAAGAACAAAATAGTCGTCTTTTATCCCAATTACGCGAAAAAGATGATGCACATATCAAACTCATGGTTGAACGTGTCAAATCGCAACAATCCCAGAAAGCTATGTCCGACGAAAAAGTCCTCCTCCTCCAACAAACAACTGTTCTTCAAGAACAACTCGAGGCACAAGTAAAGTTTCCAAACCTCTGTTTCACTTAACAGTATTTCGCTATTTAAAGGCAGCGATGAATCAAAAATACGAAGAAACAATCGCATCACTCCGCAACAGTGTCTTAGTTTTGGACAAAGAACTGAGTACAATGCATCAAACATTGGATGCACATAAACGGAAAACCATTGAAAGTGCGCAAACATCTGCTGATCTGAAACTTCATCTTGATCGTTATCATGCGCAATTGAAAGAAGTTCAAGAATTAGTCGCTGAAAAATCAGAAGCACTTGAAAAACAAAATTTCAAAAATCGACGGTAAATGCAGTTCGTACAGTTATTTTATTCTTCGAAATTCTTTTCTAATAGACTTCAAGAAGACGTGAAGAATTTAAATCGTAAATTAGATCGATCACGTAAACTAGAGATGGCATCGAATAAAGACGAAGTTTTACTAGAAGAAATACGTGAATACAAAGAAATTCTTCGTTGTCCAGCATGTAAAAATAAACAACGTGATGCAATTCTTTCCAAATGTTTCCATGTATTCTGTTATGATTGTCTCAAATCACGATACGATTCGCGTCAACGTAAATGTCCCAAATGTAATACAGCATTTGGACAATCGGACATGCATAAAATCTGGTTGGTCTAACTGTATAGTATCTTTCTCTTTTTTTTTAAAATTTCCTCGATTGAACATATGTCAACGATGATTGGATAAATTTCGATCGAGAACTATCTGTTGTTCATCTTTTTTTCTTCGTTTGTTTTCTTTTCTTCTTTTCGTTGTTTCAATGTTTGTCTCTGTGGAACATAAAATCAAACATATTCAATAAATGTGCAACGAAAAGAATCACACAGCGATTTCCACTTTCTCATAAAATCGGGTCCACACAGATCCAATGACTCGGCTGATTTCGGGCACAAAAGTATTGAAATGATACGGGCCATTGTGACTACCAAATAACGTTGGCCATCTTAGCTACTCAAATGTCACCACTTTATCAAAAGATCAAGAAACATTAATATTTTACTCACACTCAGCAATTCAAAAGTTGGTCGTTTTCTTGAATCAATAAAAAGTACACATCGGTTTATTTCCTTCATCATGCTATATATATAAGCTCCATGCATATCTATATGATTACACAAAAATAAAATACTAAAAACACACTACATGACGATGATGAATAACGAGTGAATATATAGATATGTCTGACTAGACGATATTTGAAAAAATGTCATATATGGAAATAAACATGGCTTTATTCGTATGGAAATGGATTTCTTCAATAGATTTCAATACACATTGCAATACCGAGACCACCACCGATACACAGAGCAGCACATCCTCGTTTCAAACCTGTACGTTTCAATGTATGAATCAGTGTGACAAGTATTCGAGCACCGGAGCCACCAAGCGGATGACCAAGAGCGATGGCACCACCATTTACATTTAGCTAAGATTAATGAATAAGAATATGACAGTATAAAAAATGTATATGTTTACTTTTTTGGGATCAATACGAAGTTCTTTGCTGACTGCTACGGATTGAGAAGCAAATGCCTCGTTTAGTTCAAATAAATCGACTGTTTCAATATCCCATTTAGCTTTGGTTAACGCATCTTTAATTGCACCTACTGGTGCTAAACCCTGTATAAAACGAATCGAATACGTAACGATGTCGAAAGAAGAAAAATATATACCATAAGAAGTGGATCAATGCCAGATTGTCCATATGAAACAATTCGCGCCAGCGGTGGTAATTGTTTCAATTTAGCGGTACGGTTCGAACAAAGGACAACAGCAGCAGCTCCATCATTCAAGCCTGATGCGTTGCCAGCAGTTACTGTTCCAGCTATCGAACGAAACAATGAAGTGAGTAAGAGTGATTATTCCACCGCATATTTACCCTCTTTAAAAACAGTTTTTAGATTTGTTAGACCTGCAAGCGTTGTTTGTTTACGAGGATACTCGTCAGTTTTAATATGTACCTCAGCTAGAAACAAAAGATAGTCATGCAAATTTACTGTAGAAATTGGATAAATGACGTACATTTTGCCGTAGCGAGAACGATTGGTTCGATTTCCGCGTCGAAGTGTCCAAGTGTCATCGCTTCGTCACATTTACGCTGGGAAGACAAAGCAAATTCATCTTGTTCTTCTCTTGTTACATCACATGTTTGTGCCACAGTTTCCGCTAAATGCCGTCAGAATAAATAGATACAATGATGTCTGATTACTAATACCTACCTGTAATACCCATATGAACATGATTAAATGCGTCTGTTAATCTACAAATAAAATCACTCAAAGACTTGATTTTCACCCCTTCTTTACTTTTCTTACCCATCATGTACCATTGAATCGATAAGGGTAGTATCTCCCATCTTTTTACCGTTTCTCAATGGTATACAATGTGGTGCCTGACTCATACTTTCTTGACCTCCGGCCACAACAATTGTTGCATCACCTGTGCGAATTGCTTGGGCACCTAAAACAATTGCTTTCATGCCTGAGCCACAAACCATATTGACCGTCGTCGCTGGAATTGTATATGGTAAACCACCACCACGAGCTGCTTGCCGTGCTGGATTTTGTCCTTCATTGGCGGTCAATACTTGACCCATGAAAACTTCACTGATTTCATCTGGCTTGATCGTAGCACTAACTCTTGACAGTGCAGCTTTGATTGCAACGGCTCCAAGCTGATGACCTTTTAGAGCCGATAAGCATCCATTAAATGAACCAATTGGTGTACGAACAGCAGATACTATAACCACATCGTCAAGACCTTCATTCACTGCATTAGCCATGGTTGAATGGATAAAAATAATCTACAAGATAGAAACAAGTATTCTTTACAATAATAGTCTCGATTTTGCGCACATATAAATCAAAGTACGGACCAACTCACTTTTTTTTACTATGCTTTCTATGAAAGACAATCATAACTATAGGACTGTACTGAACCGTGAAAAACAAAAGGTATTACTTTGCCATGAGAAAAGGTAAATAGACAGACAATCACAGCAATACGTAGAAAGAAAAAGAAGTAAACAAAGAACTTTTCCTTCTTTCGAATCACATGTATACAATTGAAATATATGAGTGTAAACAAGCGCCGAACATAGCTTTCGCTGTAATTCGATAACCTACTAACATGCTCACATCGTTAATGGTTATGATCAAACTCATATTTGCATCGCATGCATTCATTCTACTTCCTCATCAACATATTTGAGCTCTGTCTGACTAGTCTATATATAATAGTTGAGCTGTGTCTGTTATCATCGAACACAAGATTATAGAACCATACATATCAAACCAATGAAATTTATGATACGTTCGTTGAAATCTCTTATCTTACTCATACACTTGTCATGTTTCTCTTTTGAATATCTGAAAAGTAAATCGAACAAATATGAGAATAATCATGACAGTATACCAATAACTGAATTTGCTCTATATTTAAAATAAATGAAAAGCCAAAAACGAAAGATTCAGTAACAACAATAGTAATAATAATATTCACTGTAAGATAGAAAATATCAACGGAATGACTGTGAGATAAAGAATTAAAAAAATCAGAAACACAGTGTTCGGTTTAGGATTTTTTTGAGAACTATTTGCGGACAAATAGAGTATCGTCTTCGATTTCGTCTTCGTCGTCAATAGCATCGAAAAGTGGTGCTTCAATTGCTGTTGGATCTGTGATCAATGTATATCGTTTTGGTTGACGTTTTTTACGTAAACTAAAATTATCGAATAGAATTCTCATCTTTTTCTTTCAAATAAAATAACATCGACTTACAGGAATGTTTTCAATCCAACATACAATAAAATCAGAGCTGTAATACCACCAATTACAATAGCACCACGTATAACTGTTCCTCGATCCATTTTTGCAAACGTGTCATGTATCATATCTTTACCTTGTTCAATTTGAAGTTTGATCGATGTGGGTTTTGTTGTCGTGCTTTCATCTTTTGTCATATTGGCAGTAGTAACTATTAATGATTTAGTCGTTATTTCACTTTCGAGAACTCGACGAGCATGTGTCAACGTTTGATGTAAGAAAATTGTCAAAATACATGACAGATAGAAGTCACTAATAAACATTGCTAAGAATTGATCTATCAACTAAGAAAAGTAAAGAAAAAGATTAATAGCGAATATTTTGCTGAGTGAATGATTAGTACTTGGTAGTGGAAGACAACATACACGCACACGTGCTACATCAAATCTGTTTGGCGAATAATTGAAATCGATAGTAGCGCTAATGTACGAAAAGGAAAAAATATCAGATTGTCAGATGCGTACGACACAATGGACGTCGGCGACACCTACCTCATATCTTTCCAGCAAGTAGAACTGTAATTCCGAACGCATATGCTGACTTGGGTGTGGTTCATATTCAATATCTCTTGAGAAAAAATTTGTATTTATTCGAATAGTAACATGTCACGAAGACAAAAGAAATCAAGAGAAGGAAAGTTAGCGAGAATTTGAAATAATAAAACATACAGACACAGACACACGCATAAATATAAAAATCAAATAAAAGATAATGGAATGTATCTTCTATTTTCATAGTTGTCACAATATCCTTACCCCGGGTATCCAGAGCTGAACGTCTCGATACCCAGTAGGATAACTAAACTACCTTCGTCAGCCGATCTCGTTACCCATTACTCGATAACCAAACTATGTCACCCCAGATGTGAGGAATTTGATTGAATTTGGTCGGACGATTTCGATACACAACAACAAATTAAACTAAATCGTTCAAACACTTGATAATGGTAGTTAATTAACCACATGCATCTATCCTTGGTTACATCTAGGGTGAGGGTGTTGGCGAAAAGGTCGGTACGTGCACGAAAGCCTCTTCCAATTTCCACTCCAACAAGTGATCCGGCGACGAGTGGTTCGTTCTTTTATTCACTCTAGGTCAGCAACTAAGGCTTAAAGTACCGAATTACATTCCCTTCTAAATTCTCATTGGCCTTCCTGCTAGTGATACCATGACGAGATGCTATCTCGTTACCCGCTGGGTATCGACCAAATTCAATCAAATTCCTCCCGATTCTGAGTATACTGTTGTCGATTTTTAAACAGATACTCGGGGTAATGATATTATGACATCACTCTGTTTCTTTGGTTCTATTGAAATAAGTATGATAAGTTTCGATTTTATTTAAACATTATACTGAGATTCTGTTCATACATTCAGTGGCAGGTTGTTATACCTAATTTATCAAAATATAAGTCATCTATCATTATCGATAATATAATAACGCCATCTCGATTTATGTATATCTTTTCGCTGTATCTGATAGGATTATACATGTAATAGTAAATGGAAGGAAAGAATAAAATAACAAATGAAATCAGGAATTATTGAAACGATCTAACTCGATACATAATATAGTACTTCTGTTCCTAGGTCGATCATTCCGGCAACTAGATCCGTTGAAACCTGAGTCGGTTCCGGTACAGCTCTTCTCGATTCCAGCAAGTTTCGGCAGGTTCCTTGCCGCCGGATTCCGACCGAAATTGCACAGGAAATATTCGATCAGTTCTTTACCGTTTTCAGCTCGAAGTTTGCAGGAAACGGCCGGGAAATGCCTGGAACCTACGTTTGAACTTCCGGCGGCAAGAAAATGGTCGGAAAACGAACCTAACCGGCCGGAACCGACTACATTGTGCCACACTTTGTCTCTACCATAACTTACACGGAAAAGAAATATTGTGTTTTTATTTCTTCTTTGTCATATCAGATCGATCAGCTGTGCCTTTTTATCCAGTAGATGGATCAACTCCTGTTCAACAGACCACTACAAACAATGGGCCATTGAATACGGCAAGTACTGGAATTCCTCATATATGTATGTTTGTAGCCGCAGTGAGCTCACCCTTATTCGCTGCATTATTCATTTTGTGTTTGATATAAATGAGTTAGGCCACAGACACACTATAAAAAATAAAATTGAATTTAAACTGAACTATGCATATGATTGGTCACTTCACATTTAATTCAATTTCATTTTTACAGTGAGTCTTTAGCCTTAACGGACGAATAAAGGTCATCGATTTTATCGTCCGTAGACAATTTTTCTTAATAAAAGTTTTATCCGCTACATAAATGATTTCACTTAAGATGTTCACACATATAAATATACATGCGTGTTGCTCATTGAATAACAGATACAATGGATTCATTCATAAACAATTCTGCACATGAGGACGACCCTGAATGCGTCATGTATTTTACTTGCTTTGAATGAAAACCGACAATACGAGTATTTCCAGTAATGTAAATGATTTTTTCTCTTTTAATGTAGGACGATCAAGATGACATTGCAAGTACATTTACCAATTTTATGCGAAAGTCGCTCAGGTTTCAAAAGAAACAAGATATTTATTTGCGTCAATTATCGAATGCTCAAGTTTATCATGGGAAAATCCTCAAGAAAACTATGATTATTCTCGACAGTCCAGCTAAAACGTTAGAAGAAACGAATAAGATGTTGAAAGAATGTAATAAAAACAAGTAGCGCTCATCCTTTGGATTCGCTGACCCTTTTCTGAAAGAATTGTCCCAGTGCTGACCACATTCAAACACTTTGAAAGACAACTAAGGCACTGCGATTGCTACTAGTCCTCAACT